ATTATGTCCTTATACATCCCTATGGTCAGGATTAAATCACCTGCTCATCCTCTAACTGCAGAGAGGTTGGCTAAGTCAGCACCTGGCATTTCAAATCAACATAATGGGAGTAGCTTTCTCCTTATGAAAAAGGCCAGGAGAATGTTAAGAGCATCAGTCACAAATGACAAATCCACAGTCTCCTAGAAGTAACTGCAATATCACCAAGCCACAGACTGCAGGAATAAATGGAATAATATCACTTTACCCTACCAAACCCCATGGACACTTTCCCACATGGCTCTTGCAAGAATGTCCCCACAGGGTATCCACATACACTCTCTCAAATGAGTCCCCTGATTGTCTCCCTTTCTTTTGAGTAACTGCTTTCTTCCTCTGGGACCTTCTGGCCACAGTAACATTGCCAAGATACTGCCAAGTAGCATGTTTTCTACTGACCCTGGAACCCCCCTCCTTTGTACTGCTGCTGAGACACTGAATGTCGTATGAGAGCTATTCAGACATCTGCAGCGAAGTATGGACAGCATATCTCTCATCATATTGCCCTCTGGTAGAAAGTTCCAAAGCACTGCTGCTAGTGCCCTAAAATCTACCAAAGATTGCAGTTAAACAGAGTTTGAGGGAGATATGACTTAGGTTCATCAATATTCAGCTTTCCTTTATTTTCATCAACAAGCTCCTGAAGAGAAAACTTGCTATGAGTTCATTATTAGTTAATGATAGAGAAGGAGAAATCAAGGACTTTTCTTACAGGTAAAAATAAGTATGAATAGCGTATGTGAATCTACCGTTCTCTTTCCAAAGCTGTACAGTGGTGAAAGAAGAATGTGCTGGGGCAGGGTGCAGTGGCTCACACCATTAATCCCAACACTTTGGAAGGCTGAGGTGGGTGGATCACTTGAGGTCAGGAGTTCAAGACCAGCCTGGCCAACATGGTGAAACCCTGCCTCTAGTAAAAATGCAAAAATGAGTTGGGCTTGATGGTGCAGGTCTATAGTGCCAAATTCTCAGGAGGCTAAGGCAGGAGAATCATATCAACCCAGAAGCAGAGGTTGCAATGAGCCAAGATCACGCCACTGCACTTCAGCCTGGGTGACAGAGTGAGACTCCATCTCAAAAATAAAATAAATAAATAATTTGTTGAAACACCAGTGCTGTAAGATTGAAATGGACTAGACTGCAGAACAAATACAAGGAGGATAAACACCCCGGGAAGTCTCCCAGAACCACAGAAGACTTTACATGGGTGAGAAATACTCATGTGTTCTGTTAGTCCATGGAGGCCCTATCTGTTGCCACTGTGCAACTTAGCCTGTCAGACTGAGATCTTTCCTTTGTATGGTCTGTCTGCCTGTTCCCTATGGGATTTCACCTAAGGAGCCCAATGGCCTTGGAAGAGGGAAGTCTGTCTTTTCCTTTTGACAACAAAAACTTATTTGGTCTGGCTCATTTTATCATTCTTCATTTAGAAGTTCTCTCTAAAAGTTCTTCTCAGTTCTCAATTAGACTTCTGGAGAATGACCACATAATTCATCTACATTTCTCATTTCAATCTTTTTTTTAAAGTTTTTTTTTAATCTTTACTGTTTTATTCTTGATCTCCAGCACTTGTTTATAAAGGACGAACCTATCATTCATATCCTACTTAATAACCTTGATATATACAAAGAGTAATTAATTATATGTGACAGATGCTTCAAAGTGGAATAGACACAGCACATCTGAGAGGATGAGATGTGGAACAAAACTGATGTGATGAGGGAAGGAAAGCATGGGAGGGTAGATGAGACTTATAATGGTGCACAGAGAATGCAGAGATCTCTTGAGAGAGGGATAAGAAAAGGGAGAAAAAAGAGAGAATGGCAATGATGTGGGGTAAATGGCACTTGGATAGGATATAACTCAGAAACCATAAAAAGTGGTACAAAGGCCCTGAAGAAGCTTTCAACCACATTTTAAAGTAATTTGGGTTCAACCATATTTTTTCAAATAGTCTGGTTTGCAAGTGACAGAAACCCACTCTGCCACAATAGCAGGAGTGTGGGATTATCATGCTCTCTTATCAGACAAGGCGATAAAGCCAAAAGGCATATGCGTTGTTTAGAAACAGCATTGTGGTTCAAGGCAATATTTTCTTTCTTGTTTTTTACCATTCACCTAGAAAACCCCTGTGACACAGGTGGAAAATTGCAGGTAATCAAGGGAAGCTAAAGTAGAGCATATCTAAATTGGAACCAGAAATATTTTAGTTCAGATCTCCATAGCTTTGATCATTCCAGTTTTAGGAAAAAATAAAGAATTCATTCAATCACAAGTAAAAATCATGAGTTTATTTTTTTTTAAAACTAGCTCTTTAATGCTCGGTCCACAGTATTTTTTGTCTATTCCTATATACATTGCAGATTTAACTCATGAACCAAGCTGTTCTATAAACCCATTTGAATATCACCACCAATTGTGAGAGTCATTACAGTTAGCTTTGAAAATCTACCCTTCATTAGACTAGCTTCCTAATGTTAATGAGTATGGCAGAGATGAAAAGATCCTGGTCCATGACCCTTGTTGGCTGTAATTAGAGGACGCCTAGGACAGCATACTCTCAGAGAAGCAGAGCACTTGGGAGGATGAAGAGTTGAAGGCGACATGGGCCATTAGTACTCTGCAGATTCACTAGATGCTGGAGAGGATTATTAAGAGTCTAGTTAATGGGGCAACACATGAGAGAGGGAAATGCCAGGGATTCCTTGGATCATCAGACAATGCAGACAAACTAAAAATTACACAAGTGTTTTGGCTCAGGAGCTGGAGAAGTGCTGCCAAGTTCTGGAGACATTCCCCAGATTTCCCATAAACACTAGGCAGCCAGCGGGACCACAGCCCACCCTTCCAGGAACGGGCTCTTTTCATCATTAACTCGAAAGGGGGGAAATGACACCTTGGTAAAGAAACATTAAAGTCCCCTTTTTCTACAAGTGGAGAATAAGTACAAATAGACGATAAAGGCCACTGTCAAAGAGGCAATGAATTTGCCAACATTTTAGCCTAACACAATTTCTGGTTACATTGATGCATACTCAGAAAATGTCAGGAAAAATCCAGATATTTACTGAACATAGTCATGATATGAATCTCAAGAGAAAAAGGTAGATTACAGAATGACTTTTCCCTTACATTTGAGGGTACGGCATCATGCAACACAGTCAAACATAGGAATGGAGCAGTATCATGAATATTTGACAAATATTCTAGCCCAGCATAATTGAATATGAAACATCTGCAAAACAGGAAAAAAATGAAGAGATACAGACAAGAAAACAAGCAAATGACTGTAGGGCAGGATAGGAAAACTTACTTGCCCACATAGGCTATGCTCCATTTGTAGTTTTATTTTGGATATTTCATAATTTTGTTCAGAAGCAATCAGGCAAACAGTGTAGCAATAATTAATACTCTAGAAGAGAAAAGGGTCTCCCCAGTGTCTTATAAGTATGAACATTCTTAAAGAACTGGAAGGATTTCAAGAAGACAGGAGTGCAGGACTGCACTACAGAAAGAATTATTTGTATTTTCCCCAATGTGTCCTGTTCCTTCACTTCTCTTAATCTCCCAGGGAACTTTCTTCTCAGTTATCACTTCTTGCCTCCAAGGATATCTTCCCCAACCACAACATTACCACCCTAAGGAAACTTCCTTGGTAACTCTCTCTTTGTGCTCTCTGTACTGCACTTACTAAGTTTCCCATATAGTAATTGGTTGTTCTCTGACACCTTCACTCAGTTCTGTATGCTTTGAGGGTAAGAATTTTGAGTCCTCATCTTTTGTTTTCCTGACTCCTAGCACTGAGCAAGGCACACAGTAGATACACAGCTTTTTCAGTGCAAGGAATAGAGATATTTAAAATACTGTCCTTCATTCTTGCAACCCACCTGGAAATGCATTGGTCTGGATTGTAAGACAGGCAATCTTTTCTGGATCTATATTGGGGAATGAAATTAATCCAAAGCCTCCCAATGGAAACATGGGTGACTCATGGGATCTTTATCTCCTCCAGATAACAGAAAGGAAACAGTGACAGAACCACAACCTGATTTGTCTAAAAAGCCTACACAGACCATGCAGCCTGCTGGGGAGAATAATTAATCAGATTTGAGTGGAGAGAAAATAGAAAATGCAAATATTTGATCCCTTTTTGAGTGAAAGGATAGAGTTCTTTTTAATGTGCAAAGCATGTTTTAGAGAATCTTTAGAGACAGGGCCCATGAGAAAAGGAACACACAGCAGGCTATTAGCAGAGGAGTTCCTTTTTCTTTACACAGTGTCTTCTTTTAGAAATAACTTTTCTTTCCAAATTAGAGAATAACATAAATTATAATCAGCAAATTTTGTTAGATTACAGAGTGGCAACAGATATTTTTTCATACTTCTACCTCTTAAAATATCTTTGTAGTAGCAAGTAAGGCAAAGAGAGAGGCATAAATTTAGAAAGGTAAGAGAAGGAGTGAAAACTCTCTGGGAAGGTGAGGGGATGCTGGTGCCTAAGAGAGGTGGTGTGCTGTGTTTAGCCTCCCTGAGCTGGAAGGGACCTTGAGAGGTAATAGGGGAAAGGATTCTTGCAGTTCTGCTAAAAAAAAAATAATGGATGCATTACAAAGGGAAAGTATTCTCTTGGAAAGTGTAGATCATACATACACACTTGGATGTGTTATTATTTTACTTCTTATTAACGATAATGCTCTCCTTTCAAAAGCTTCTGTGGCATGAATGAAAAAGAATAATTGCTAATGGTGATATTATGAGAATAATATGGTCTCTTCAAAGGAGGATTTCAATTAAAAGAACAGAGCAAGTGTGTGGCCTCATTTGCATTTCATGGCTACAAGTTTGAATCAACCTGGCATGAGTTTGGTAAAAATGGTAAACCCCCAAAAAGTCACATGCTTGGCCATTCATCATGACACCAGACCCCCTCTCAGCAAACCTACTGCTGACGAAAACCCTACCTTCCACCGTGGCTCGCTTGGGCTGAATGGTGATGGCCCCTTCTGCTATATCTTCATGCTGGTGCAGTGGGTTTATTTTGGATCCCCAGCTGTCTGATCCCACCCAAAGAAAATGACCAACTTGGTCAGCTCTTTTGGCTGCTGCAAGGATCTGCCTGTGGAAAGAAATACGGAAAGTTACATTAATTATAAAGAATATCAGCTGAACCTATGTATATTAAGAGTCAGCAAAAGGAAAGGTACTATTCTTTCTCAAAAAGTAAATAACTACAAAAAACATGATAAATAATTTATATCCCTAATATATAAAGATATTTTGTAAACAACAAAAAAAGATAAAGCGTCTTGAGAAACAAGAGCGAGTAATAGTAAACATTACAAGATAAAAGGAGAAATACAAATGTCCAATAAGGTGAAGATACATATTTACATATGTTAGAAAAGATGGAAATGCAAATTAGACCAAGGTACCAAATTCATTTCTCATATTTGCCAAAATGTGTATTTTATGAGTTTTGGCTTGGGGCTAGAGAAATAAGCACTCTCATTTACTGCTGGTGGTATATATTATCTCTGAAAAGCAACATAATTATGAATTAAATATGTTAATTATTTATTACAATAAACAGAACTCTGTTAAACAGGAAAAATTTACAACTCGTGTATGAACGAAACTATTATATGTACATAATCAGGACAAGGAGTGCAAATAAAAAAAGGAAACTAGTTATTAATGAAAAAGTTATTGCAATAGTATTTTTAAAAGAGGGGATTCATGAGATGTAACTGTATTTGTAGAATAGAAAAAACTACAACCACAACTGAAGCCCCTTTGGTGGGTAAGACCGCAGGATATGTGATTTGTGTGTCTCTCAGGACTTGGGAGTATCAGGCACCACAGAGCTACAGGGCCTAATGCAGGAAGATAGGGTGAACGATTGTGGATAAGGTGGCAAAAAGCCAGTTCTACACCTTTTTCTTCTAGGCAGGAAATGGCAGCTTAAAAAAAAAAAAAAAGCATAAGGAATAGGTTCTGATATTGTAAACACCAAAATGGTAAAAGGTAGATAAGACATGGTGTGATAAACCTGGAGGTGGGGCTATGAGAGAATGACTAAAAGTCAGTATAATAGAAATTGAAATTTGAAGACACTGTAGGAATCTTAAACTTCTGCTCACAAAATGCTGGGAACCAGGGGTATGTCACCCCAGGCAGAAAACAATTTTTCTGTAAAAATCTGATGTATATAAAAAAGTAGACTCTAGATATTGTTAAAGAAGTCCTCTAATGGAATGGCTAATCTGATTCCCTGGGAACCCCATCAGTTGTCATGCACCTCCCATGGGCACAGAGCTTTTTACTGCCTTACTCATATGTGAATTGCCAGAAGACACTCATTTTTGAGGAAAATCTCCATTGTCAAACAGAAAAATTAACAAGGAAAAGGAAATGTGTGGGGTGGAGCAGAGACAACATATAAAAAAATCCAAAATAATAAACACATTTAGGTGAGAATTATTGTATCTGTAATCAAGAACAAGATAATAAAAAAGTGACCAAAAAGGAACAGCTCTTATTAAAAATATGAAATGAAAACCGCATTAGCATAGATACAAAGTGAAGAAAATTCTCCATAAAGCAAAACAACAAAAAGTTTGAAAATAAATAAGAAGAAATGATTCTTTTTCCTCTTATCAATAATCAATCCAGGAAGACCTATATCCAGCTAATATTAAGAGGAAAAAAATGTACACAAAAAATGGAGTAAATATTTAAATATTATTTTTAATGAATAAAAATCCAAAAAATTGAAAATCTAAGTTTCCAAGTTTAATAATTCAATCACATAATGGGAGGAAAATCAAGCATGTTACAAAATATAAAATCTCTGTAAATAATCAGAATGTTCTAAAAGCTCTTCCAGAGAAAATGAGAAGACATGCAGAAAAGTAAGAAATTATATTTTTAACCTCTCAAGAGGCAAAAGAAAAAAATATGGATGACGGAACAAAGGCTTCAAAATTCTGACAAAAAGACCTTAATCTAGAATTTTAATATTAACACACAAAGAATCCCAGTACAAGTAGAATTTGCGTATTTATTCAGTAACTCTTTTAGATTTTTCCATCCACAATTAGATGGAATTAGAACCCTATGTTCCCTATAAGTTAAGAGTTTGGCAACTCATTAGTCACCAAAGCTATTTGTTGTAAATCACTTCTTTACCAGTTATAATGCATTTATTAATAAAAATAAATATGAGGTCACACATTACCACACTAAGTATTAATTAAGGGTAAAGGAAGAATGAGAACATTTTAATATATAAAACACACAAAAAAGTTTTCCCTTAATTTACTTTAAAAAAAAGCTACAGGATATGCACCAGCAAAATGAGGAAATAAACCAAGAATAAAAATCAGTTAGCATCCTGAAAAAAAAAGGCAGTGATGAAACAAAAGAGGAAGTAAGATGAATAAACTTTTCAAATGATGATCCAGACTAAACAGAATGATAGAGATTTCAGGAATGAAGTATTAATGAAAAATAAGGCAACTCAGATAATCTTATATATGAACATATGGAGAAAATGAAAGGCCTATAACAACAATAGAAAAGATATTAAGATAATGATGAAAGTATGAAGACTGTCATATTAATTCCAAAAAACAAAAAATACCAAAATTCCTCCCCCCAAAAAATACCATAGAAAAAATACTCGATGCTGTAGTGCGTGATACATAATCACAATAATGTAAACACTGATTTTTGTTAAATTAAAACTTGATAGATTCTGATTATAGGGGAGATAGAAATGATATAAGTTCTAATTAACATAAGAACTAGACAATAATTAAAATAGTTCCAAAGTTGTAAAATGTGTACATTATACAGATAACACTGAAAAAATAGTGTAAAGAGTTAAAGTAACTGCCAAGAGACCAGAACCAGAAAGTATGGTGAGATGAAACAAGAGACTAATGTTTTTCATCAAAAGGGCTTTAGTCATTTATGTATTATTTTCATAAAAATTGAACCATCAAATATTTATACTTTGGCCTAGACATACCACTTTGATAATGTATCCAAAAATGATCAAAGATGCTGTCAAAATGTTTGTTTATTATTGCAGTTAACGTAAATACAGAGCAATGGGAAACCAGTTTGAAAAATGACAATATACTCAAACAATGAATTCTAGAGCAATTAAAAATATATTTAGTTTGATTTCCACAAAGTATCAAACTAGATACTAGATGTTAAAAAAGAAAACTAAAATTAAATACACGATAAATGATTATTTAATTCTCATAAACAAAAGCTGACCAAAAATTGCCTGTATATGTGTATATATATGCATAGTTAAAAGCAGAGAATCATATCAAGTCACAGAAAATATAGATTGGCTTACAATTATTATTGACAAGTTTGGGGAGGTGCTGATGAAGTTTGAAAAGGATAAAAAAGGTAGGGATGGGCCAGGTGTGGTGGCTCACGCCTATAATCCCAGCACTTTGGGAGGCCTAGGCGGGTGGATCACAAGGTGAAGAGATCAAGACCATCCTGGTCAACATGGTGAAACCCCATCTCTACTAAAAATACAAAAATTAGCTGGGCACAGTGATGCGCGCCTGTAGTCTCAGCTACTCTGGAGGCTAAGGCAGGAGAATTGCTTGAACCCAGGAGGTGGAGGTTGCGGTGAGCCGAGATTGAGCCCTTGCACTCCAGCCTGGGTAACAAGAGGGAAACTACGTCTCAAAAAAAAAAAAAAAAAAAAAAGGCAGGGATAAGCCAAGTAAAACAGGAAATGACAGTCAAAATTGGTATTAACAGAAAAGTATGTTCAGTTTAATATATATATGTAAAATTTAGGGGCTATAAGGATAAATATAATTAAAGCATTTAAAAATACTTGTGATATCAAATGATTAATCTATAGTATGAATTGCAAAAAATGACATAAAATTCTATGTCATCTTTATTCTGTTGGTGAAAACTTGCGTATATATAAAAAATTACTGCAAACATTAAACCAGAATTTTATTAGCAGTTATCTCTGAGTGTTAGAATTGCAGGTTTTATAGAAGATTATTTAAAATTATTGTTTGTGATTATTCTCCATTTAACCTTTAATTTTTTTAGCAAATTGTGGGCAAAGTAAAATGTAAGGGTACCTTTTATTTAAAAAACAATTAAAAAATCTTTCTTTCCCAGTGGATTTACAATTAGCATGTGTTTCTTTTATAATCAGAATAAGTTATTTCAGAAAAAGAATCCACTCTTGTCTAAAATCCAAATTATCAATACCCATGACTGATTTAGCACTTATCTTAGTTTTAAAATGTTGATATTAATGTCTTCTCACTGCTATCCTCTGTCAAAGTATTTGAAGTTAATGTTCCGAGAAACCTCAAATTTTCCCATCTACAATGTGAATCTTCCGAAAAAAAAAAATAACATAACATTACAGGTTGTCAGTATACTTCAGACATTAGTGTGTATAAGATCATGTTTTAGAAGAAATTTTTATATGCAGTTGGCTTTTAGTACTGTGCTCAAGAAAAATAATTGTCATCACCTTTATGAATGACAATATAAAATAATATTTAATACACAAACAAGCCTAATGCAAAACAAATGGGCATAATTATTGAAAGGGCTATACACATTTTACATCTAAACATGAAAAACTCACACTACCTGCGAGTCAAGAGTATTATAAACAATTAGGTACCAGAACTATTTGCAGTAGATCTTTTAGGTGTCTTGTGTAACCTATTTAAAAATAAACATGAAGCCAAATCTTACTAATGCGTTACGTATTTAGAAAAAGCATTAAATAGGTATTAAAAAGACTTACGAGATGGTATTAGAATTTTTTTTAAAGTACTGGAACAGAAAGAGTAAAATGGAAACAAAAATCTCATAGATACCTAAATTACAAAGTTAGGGAATATACCCTAAGAGAATTTTGTAAGGATAGAAATGATACATTTAAGGGATGATCACAATCAGAATCAGTTCTTCAGGACTGGAGAAGGGAATGCTTGAAATAGACCTTGAAGAAAAGACATAAGTTAGATAGATAGATAAGGAGAGAAAAAAACATCATGAGCAAAGACCATGATGGAGAAGTAATCAGAACAAATCGGAAGGTCAGAGTTATGCATTTTGGATGGAGAACTGCATGAATGTAGATGAGGCCTAAACTGTAAAAATGAGACCACATTTTAAATCACTATGAAGTTCAGAAAAAGATGCTTATTGTTAAATTATTAAATATGAAGCATTAGGTTAGGAATTTCATTCACTTGTTCAATGCCATTTATTGAGCTTCTACTATGTCCTTAGCACTGGGATAGTTATTGAGAATATCAAAACAAGTTGAAAGCGGTTTCATTTCTGCCCTAATGTTTACAGACTAGAGAAGAATGCATACATGAACTAAACAATAAAAATAATGCCATTGACATAAACAATGAAACTGATTGAGTATGAAGAACTTTCCAAAGTGATGTTGATCAGAGAAATCTTCCCTCAGGTTGGCACTAGAGATAGCCTTGAGGTGACAAAGCAGTAAAGGAAATGTGGGCCAGGGAGGGGGAAAAGAATGCATGCAGACTGGAAGGGAGATTATATCACAGTACGGTGCTTGCAGTAGGCAAAATGTGAGGGAATTTGGAATAGAGTAAGACTAGAAAGTGGCCAGGCGCGGTGGTTCAAGCCTTTAATCCCAGCACTTTGGGAGGCCAAGGTGGGTGGATCACGAGGTCAAGAGATCGAGACCATGCTAGTCAACATGGTGAAACCCTGTCTCTACTAAAAATACAAAAAAATTAGCTGGGCATGGTGGCGCGTGCCTGTAATCCCAGCTACTCAGGAGACTGAGGCAGGAGAATTGCCCGAACCCAGGAAGGCGGAGGTTGCTGTGAGCCGAGATCGCGCCATTGCACTCCAGCCTGTGTAACAAGAGTGAAACTCCGCCTCAAAAAAAAAAAAAAAAAGAATAAGACTAGAAAGTGATACAACCAGATCACCCGAAAATGAACTCTGAAGGATGGTCATTTTATTGGTAGGAGACTTGAGGGCCAAAGAACCTGGAAGGCAGTGAGAGGAACTTGCCCAAGGTCACACAGTGCCCATTATGTTAGTAGCAAATAATCCTCAGTTACAAATTCAAAACTCTTTCCATTTAACAGCCCTGTCACCACACCAGTGATCAGAGTTTTATACTGGGAGATGGATGGATTCAGGGGCAGTGTGGATACACAAAATAGGACGAGAAAAAGGTTTGAGACTCTGGTGGTAAAGACACTGCAAAAATCCAAGCAGTAATTTAAAGGCTCAAGTCATTAAACTTTACCCTTGATAAAAGATATTCACCTTCGAAGTAAATAATAGATTATTTTGAACTATAAGAGAGACAAAGATTTAAAACACACACAGATAGCTCTATTGCACCAATGGAAGTGTAAATGGGCATGACTTCTCTGGGAGACAGTATATATTTCTAAGAAGAGACATATCTTTGTCTAGGAATTTTTAAATGGGAATTAATTTTATAAATATGATATATAGTATATTTGCATGTTATATGTTTATATCACATTATTATAAATGTATATATTGTATAATATGTTGTAGATAAACATTTTTCTCTTTATATTTATATACATATTTATGCAAAAGGAAATTAATTACAGCATTGTTTATAATTTCAATAGTCTGTAATCCAAATTAAATGTCAATTAATAAGTGAGCAGTTAGAGAAATTACAGTACTTACGTAAAATGAAATTCTGCCTGTCTATGGAAAGACTGAGTAGATGCATAGGTACTGATACTCACTGATTGTCATGTAAAATGATAAGCAAAGTGCCAAACAGGAATACACATAATATTCTACTACTATTTGTGTAAACACAAGCCGCACATCCCTTTAGCATATATACGGAACACCTCCACAAGGATATACAAGAAACTTTTAATTGGTTATTGTACCTGGAGAGATCTTAGCTACGGGACAAGATGGAGATTATATGTTTATTTTAAATTTTGTAATCGTGTTTATTTACTGTTTATTTTAAAAATAAAAAAATATAAAAATAAATATTCTAAAAATTCTAAAAATAAGGACTCTGGACCAGGTCAGTAGTGGTCAAAAGTAAAGCAGAAAATGTTTACATTGTGGAGACATGTCAAAGCTTGCTTCTAGTAGCTTCACCAAGAAAGCAAGGAACAAGGAAAAAAAGGAAAGTCAAGATTACAAGATTTTTGAGTCCAAGTATGATCAAGGTCTGAAAAGAAAAAGTAAAAAGTGTTTTGGAATTATGTACTTTTGAGGTATGACAAGTTTTTGATTTGAGCCGACTGAAATTAAGGCACTAGCAATAAAACCAGAATTTTAAGATATTTTTCTTTTATATTAAGAGAACCATTTTCTGGATAAAAGTCTGTTATTAATATATTTGAAAAAGATTTTAAATAAAAGCACCTTTAAAAGTTCTAGAGGTTTTTTTCCTGTTTTTTTTTTTTTTTTTTTTTTAACAAATAATTAAATACATTTATTTTGCTAACAGAGGGAAACTAAGTGACCATAACATATTACTGCTTCCATGGTTGACTATGGCTATGTGTTGGGGTAGAAGGCAAGCACACACTTTGCCACTACATAATTACGGCTTTGATCTTATGCTATCTTTTCTCATCTCGGCCAGCAGCCTAATCTTTCTCTCTCCTAAAGTTACAACATGCATATTAACAAATTTCACCAGTTATTCTTACTTTATATCCTCGTCGTTGGCAAAAATCACGACGGCCCTGGAGTTGGGGGTGTCCAGGAGCTGTTTGATAATTCTATCAAAGTCAATGGTCCTGTCTTTGCGCTCTTGGGGGATTCTCACGGACTGGGCAATGCAGAGTCCGCCTGTTTAAGAAAAGAAAACATAGTGTCAATAATGTTCCCACAGAGATGTCAAAGGAGCTAAGGAAGGTAGACGAGGAGGAGATTTTGAATTCTGGATGCACAGTACTTCCTTGAGGCTGTTGCTGAGCGAGGAAGGCATAAAACATCACGCTGAGTCCCAAGTATGAACAACATACTAAATGCACTTTCCATGGTATTGCACAACATTATTCTCTTTATAGAACACTTGCAAATGTCTAATTATTCCCAGCAATACCAATGATATGAATTCTGAGGAGGCAGGTTTAGGTAGGAAAAAAAAGTGGGTGGGTTTAAGATTTTTTACATGAATGCAATAGCCCATACTAACACTACAAAAGTAAACTACAATAAAGAAACTAGAACAGGTAGCTCTGTGTATCTCTGTGGCTTTTTTGGTGTTCGCATTGCCAGAAATTTTTGTTACCTTTATACCCATCTCTATTTTTTAAAGATCAACTCCAGTGGAATAAATGGTATAAAACAAAAACCAAGAACATAATAACAAACTCTTATTGACAATGTACTATGTGCCCAAGTTAACATTAAGTGTTTTAAAGATGTCATCTCATTTAGTCTTCTTAAAATTTTTATGAAGTATTTAGTATTGCTGATTTTATGTTAGGGAAAGGGAGGAATAGAAGCGTGTTAATTCCAAACTTGTCAGAGCTATTATAATATTAATTGACAATATGCATTTCAAGATGGAGAAATATGCATCAGTTTACCAAGTAATGTGTATACATCTTACTTTCCTGTTTCTTGCTTAGTAGCATTTTATGAAACATACTTAGAGAAAAGCCAGTGTTGATGAAAAGGGTAGAGGAAATATTTGTAGAAAAATCCCAACAATCATCCAAGGAGCACAAGACCAAGGAGCAGAGACAGGTAAAAAACCTTACTCTAATGTGTAATGTGTAATGTGTTTTGGAGATATTTGTAATCAACAAGCTGACACCTAGAACATGGACAACTGGGTGGGAGCTTCTAGGTTTCCACAAACATAGACAAATATAAAATCGAATATAAAATTGAGCTTCCGTTATACTAGAATACCAACCATGTCAGCTCACTCTAAGTGGCTCTCAACTTAACAGCATGCATGAAATCACCTGTGTGTCCTTCTTTAAAATATAGACATCAAACAACACTATCAATCATCTTGACCTAATTTACAACCCACACAACAGAAGAGCACATATTCTTTTCAAGAACAAATGCAACATTTATTAAGATAGACCATATTTTGAACCATACAAATAACAATTTTTAAGCACAAAAGTAATATATTTTCTCAGACTATAACAGAATCAAAGTAGAAATCAATAACAAAAATAACAGGAAAATCTCCAAACACTAGGAAGTTAAACAATACACTACCAAATTACCCAGAGGTCAAAGAGGTAGTGTCAAGGTAAATTGAATAGTATTTTGAGCTAAATATAAATGAAAGTACACTATATCAAAATCTGTAACTTACAGCTAACACAAAGTTTAGATGGAAACATAGCATTACATGCTTACATTAGAAAAGAAGAAACATTAAATTTAGCAACCTAAACTTTCACTTTAAGTAAGAGAAAATAACTGAGTAAATACCAAAAAAAAAAAAAAAAAAAAAAAAAAAGCAGAAAGGACATAATAAAAGGTAAAGCAAAAAAATCAATGAGTTTGAAAACAGAAATAGAGAAAAACAATGACATCAAAAGCTGCATTTTTAGCAGAGCATAGTTGTGAAAACCTACAGTTCCACTATTCAAGAGAGTGAGGTGGCAGGATCACTTAAGCCCAAGAGTTGGAGACCAGTCTGAGCAACATGGCAAGATCCCAGCTCTTAAAAAAAAAAAGAAAAAAAAAAAACTTCTGTTTTTTGAAAATGTAAATAAACTTGATAAATATGAAATGCAAACTGAGACACAAAAGGAGAACTAACAAATGGCCCTATGACCCTATTTAGGAATGAAAGAAGGGTAACTCTGATGATCTCATGGATATCAAAACATCATGTGAGGATTCTAGGAATAACATATCAGTAAGTTCAGCTATGTAAATGATATGAAAGAATTCCTTGAAAGATACAAAGTACCAAAACTGAAGGCATAATCTGAATAGTGCTATATACATGAAAAATGTGAAATTCATAGTTTTAAAATCTTTCAGAAAATAAATTCAGGCTTAGATGGTTTCACTGATGAATTCTATGAGTGAATGAAGACATAAAACATAATCTCATTCAGAAATCTCTTTCAGAAAATGGAAGAAGAGAGAATATAACTCATTTTATGAGGTCAGTATTACCTAATATCTAAACCAGGAAAAGATATTATCAAACAAAAATAAAAAAGCAGACAATATTACTTGGAACATATTTGCAAATATTCTTAAAAATATGTTAACAGAACAAATCCAGCAATATATTTTTAAAAAGATAGTACATCATGATTGAGTGGGTTTTAGTCAAAGAGCAAAAGGCGAATTTATTATTTGAAAAATCAATCATTATTATTCATATATTGTCAGACTAAGAAAAAACATGAGCACCTTAATACATACATATAAAGTATTTAACAAAACTCTCTCTCTCTTCTCTATCTCTCATAAACTCTGTAAACTAGAAGAGAATTTCTTTAGCCTAATAATAAGTAACTACAGAAAGTCTACAGCTAGTGTCACATTTAATGGTAAGAGACCACAAGGCAAAGTTGCCCTATCCTGTTCAATATTGTACTAGAAGCCCTTGCCAAAATAAGAAGTGGGGTAAGGGGAGGGGAGAGGAAATAAACTATATACATCTTTCAAAGGAAAAAGTAAAATCAGTTCTTTGTACGTAGGACATAGGAATCCGCTCCCCAAGAAAAAAAAAAACTATCAAAAAATCTCCTAGAATAAGTGCCAGTTATTCTCCTAGAATAAGTGCAACAAGGTTGCAGGATGTGAACTCAAAATACAATCGTCAATCGTACATGAGCAAGGAACTACTGGAATTTTACATTGGAACACGATGCCATTTAATAGTATCACAGAAAAAACAGTTCTGCTTAGGTAACAAATACGTGCAAGGTCTGTATCCTGAAAACTGTAAAACATGGCTAAAAGCCTTTTTAAAAGTGCAAATAAATTCTTCTCAAATCTATCCATAGATTTAATGCTATCTATATCAAACTCTCAGCAAACTTTTTTTTTATTTTTATAGATTTCAACATCTAATTTAACATTTATATGGAAAGGTAAAGGAAATAGAAACACCAAAACAATTCCAAAAAATAACAAAATTGGAGATTCACACCACCCAAGTTTAAGACTTACTTTCAAGTTACAGGAATCAAGCAGTGTAACATTGGTAAAAAGCATAGATAGTTAAATCAAGAGAAGAAAATAGAGGCTCAGAAGTATACCAACACAAATACAGTCAATGATTGCTGGCTAACGTGCAAAGGCATTCAAAGGAAAAAGGATAGTCTTTTCATCAAATGATGCCAAAATAATTGGATTTTCTTAGCAGAAACAATAAATCTTGCCCATATCTTATGCAGAAATCAAACCTAAATGGATAATAGACCTGGGAGTTAAATATAAAGCTAGAAAACTTTTAGAATAAAGCAAAGGGAAAACCAATATGACCTTGAGTTTGGCAATGAGTTTTTGAATATGATATTCAAAGCACAATTTATAAAGAAACAAATGGCAAATTGAATTTTGTGAAAATTTAAACCTTTTGTTCCATGAAAGACAGCATTGAGAAAATGAAAGCACAAGCCAGAGATTTTGTTAAAAGTATATGTTTGATAAAAGAATGTAACTAGAATATACAAATAACTCAAACTCAGCAATAAAAACAAACCATCAAACAAAAAAAGTCTGAATTCACACTTCCAGAAGAGCTTTTGAAGCACCTTTCTGAACCTCTACTTCTAGAGATTCTTATTCAGTCAGTTTTTGTAAAGCATGTGAATTTATAGTTCGAACAGGTTCCCAGGTGATGCTGATGCTATTAGCTTAGGACCCACACTGCTCTACGTAAAACTGCTGCAGGTGGTCAGATTTGGAGACATATTCACCTGGGTGTCTCCATATTAGGTATAGCCTACTCAGGTGGAATTAGAATTTGAACTTTGATATTCTAACCAAACTTTTTGTAGGGAGCTCTTAGAAAGGTGGCATAGGGAAAAAGAAGGAAAGGGTGGATCATTATGCTTTGTTATAAAGCTTACAATGGTGCAGAGAGCCAGCAGCAGACATACCCCTGGGCAATGGCAACTACAGTCTCAAAGTCATGATTCCTCCAAGTCTGAAAAGCATCACGGAGGATGGAAGGATGAAACCACCTGCAAACTGTTCTGGCACTCCTGGGGAGAAGAAATGACTACTTTACCACCTTCTCCGCAAGAAAAGGGGTATAATTTTGTATGGAAACCCAGCTTCCCATCAGAATTCAATTACAGCTGAGTGATTAAGCAAATTGGAGCAAACTCCATTTGGCAACGTGTCTAGCAGAGGGGCAGTTGGCACACATGGATTGAGGGCTCATCCGGTGTACACTGGGGGAACGGATGCATGGAGTTTCATGATTGCAGAATTGAGATGCTCATCCCTCTTATATGCAATTGCCCGCAGGTAAGCAAAATTAAACACCTCAACAGAGGAGAGAGATTGGCTATTAACATGGTAATGGGAATAAACCTGTGCATAAAACTAAAATGTAAAAACAAAAGAAAATTGGAAAACAGAGAAAGAGAAATAAACATGCTGTTTTGATCAACGGTTCTTGGAAGGCTTGAATTGTACCTGCTGGAAAGATAATCCGCCCCTTATTTGCCTCAGATCCATAAGAGAATGTGGCAGGTTTAAAAATTCACTTATATTGTAAGTATATGACTTCAACATAAACATTGAAGCTATACCAAGTGTGTCACTGTGAGACAATAATGATGGTCTCAAGCACCTACCCGTAAAATATAAAATTGTGCACTGCATGCAGACAC